GCATCAAATCTTTCTCACTTTCCTTCACTATGTATCTTGGATTGTAGAATTTGATCAATATAATGGTGTTTGTACAGAGTGGGCTCTTCTCTTCCACCTTTCCATATTGCTTGCTTTGATGAGTATGAAAACCGGGTACTGTTCCAAGCCTGGAAGTTGAATTGGAAGCTAACCCTGGATTCCAAGTCAAGATTGATAAATTTGAGGTCAACCTGAAAGATGGTGGGATCAATAATTCTCAAAATTGAGGTATATCTGCTACTTTTGTGGTTTAAGCATTGACGTTATGATTATATTTTGGTTAGTGTTAAGTGATGASAGATACTAAATACAGTAGGTAGTGTAGGCAGTTGAACATTACCTTTCACAGTGGTTGTTTTTTTAGAATACTCTAGAAAAAGTATGGTGATTTTCTGAATCMAATGGAGAATATGCTTGTTGAGACTGATGGGTTAGACCAGAATCAGACCAAATTTATGAAGCAACCTTAGAGATACGCCCAAAGGACAAACCTTTTGAATTTGCAAAACTCGTAAATTGTTGTCTTTTTTTTTTTTTCTTTTGAGATCCAGATTCAGTCTCTCTTGTACTTTTGTTTTGGTTGTTCTTGCAGCTTGAATCGAGAAAAGAGATACTACGACTGAAGTCGAGAAATGGGAGTTCTTAAGCAGATGGTAACCACATATCAGTAAGAACAAAACTCGTGGAGTTTGCAAACCCTCTCTAGCTACTTCTGTTTTTGCTTATGATATGGAAAATTTGAATTAAAACTTTATTACAAAATGATGTTTTTGCTTGTAATTGACTCTCTTGTTGTGAATCCTTTGACTTGGTGGTATGGTTTCCTTAGTTTCATTATGGATTTGCAAAAAAAAAAAAAAAACTAGTATTTATGAGTATCCATCACGAAGAAAAAGCTGGGCGCTTCCATACCATGTGCATCGAATCTGATGAGCGTGGTCCCAAAACCTTTTGGATTTGGGTTCATGTAAATACTTGTTGTGTCTTCTTACAACTAAAACGTATATATGATTTGGCAAACTAGCATTTGAGGTATGCTTGGTAGGGTAAATAAAATGCAGTGTAAAAGTAAAAGGGGACTATTTCGAAGGATTGATTATTCAAATTCCAAAAGAAGGCAAAAGAAAACTTTTATTTGAAAACCAACATTGAAATCTACACAAATTGACAAGAAGCAAACCTTTTTTGGTATAAGTAAATAAGCCCATATATCCAAAATGTAATTGGTAATTGGCAACAAGGCCCATCATATTGTGGTAATGGGCTGGCCCATAACTCAATTAAAATATATTTATTCAAACTTAAAAAAAAAAAATACTTTCTGCTTTACAGTTTTCCCCGTAGCGCCTCAAAACTTCGCGAAACCCTAACAATCCGGAAGCAGAAAGAGATTTGGTATCGAGAACATGGAGATGATCGGCGGCATGGGAGACGTTGAACCACCGTCGCTGTCGACGCTTCCGGATGATTTGGTACTCAGGTGTGTCAGCTCCTTCACAAAAGCGGATCTACGATCTCTGTATCGCACCTCGAGAAGATTCAAGGAGCTCCTGCGGTCTGATAGGGTCTATCGAGTGAGAGTTCAGAGAAACAGGCTCGAAAACTTCGTCTACGTCTTCTCAGATTCGATATCTGGTCCGAAAATGCTTGCTCTTCGCCGCCGTGGAACAGATCTGCTACGTTTTCAGGCTTCGCTGCGTTTTACTCCAATCCCGAATCTGCCTCTACCGATGGCAGCAATCGAAAGGCGGATTTACTTTGTTGGTGATAGGAGAGGTCCGTCGATTCGTTTTTGCTGTTTTGATCACTTGAGTGACACTTGGCTTCCACTTCAGAACATGAGATTTGCACACCAAAATCCGGCCGTGTGTTCCTTCCGAGGACAGATCTACGTGGTTAGCAACATTGGCGGTGAAGCTTTTGACCCCGTCACCAACTCTTGGACGGTAATCCCTCGTCCTGAAATCTTAGTCTCTAGACGTGGTAGATACATTCACATGGTGGTATACCAAGAACAGCTTCACATGTGGGTGTATGATTCACTTGATACGTTCACATGTTATGTCTACGACGAGMAGACATGGAATCGTAGGCSTATGGGATCACCTTTGCAGATGAACTCTCCTTTGGATATGAACTCTGGCGTAGGCTTTAGGTCTTGTGTTCTAAACGGAACCCTTTTCTTCTTCGGACTAGTGTCTTGGTCGTGGTTTGATGCAGAACTTGCAGTATGGAAGTATGTGAAGGGGCTTAAAAAACTGAAGAGGCAGCTTAAGACGGAAGGWCTGACGATTGAAGCTAACACGGGGGGTACTTTGGTTGTTGAAGCCCTCAACATTCGCGGGGAATTGCATTTGCTTTGGATCGTGCGTGGCCCTGGAAACGAGGCTGGTAATGTGCTGAGGACCGCGGTGGTGTCTTTCAAACGTGTCGGTAACAACATGCTGGGAASCATAATGTCTCGCAGAGACTTGTGCCGAGTCCAGTGCCAAGTCGTGGGCGTCCCATTCTCTCCAGTCCGGTTCCAAACCGTGACCTTTTGAGGTAAAACATGGTCGGCTTGTTTCCTCTCTCACTCTCTGCTGTGATGTTGCTAGCTTACCTCTACTCTTGTTGTCCTTTTGTTTGTTTTGTTGTCCGTTTGCTGGAACCTCTATCTCTATCGCTGATTGTTCTGTTGCCTTGTCTCTACTCGTCTTTCATCTGTGTCTTGAACAATAGATGTTTTACTTGTTAAGTGTTTGTGTGTTTGGAAACATTAAAATGACAATGATCCGTAGCTCCTTTCGTTTTTCCTCCTTTCTTTGTTCGTCTTAAAAGTTTATTTCCTTCCATAGATTCCGAGATTGGATGTCTGCATGCAGGGTAGGGAAAAGATAAGTAAGATTYATTTCAAGTGGTCCTTATAGATAGATATAAGGAAGTAGAAACCTAAGAATGACGAAATGTTTAAGGCTTGGCTTGTCACCTACTGGTGGCATCTGGTTATAGACCATGTGTGCAACAGGCAGCCTAAGACAGAAGAGCCTCTCTGAGCCATCGCTCGGGAAGATAGCTYYGAGCATCCAGTGTAATGATCCARGGTCACGAATGGCTTTAGAGGCGTTGTAAATAGGATTGCTTTACTCCAACCTGAGATGGAACTTCACCTTCTCTGGCTGCAGAGGCACAGTATGGTTAGGGAAACAATATATGAATTCCAACTTCACTGAACAAACACAAAAAACCAACACAAACAAGGATGAGAATACATCTAACTCTTTACCTTCAATGCCAGCATGTGACAGACTGACAGGTTTCATCATTTCTTCAGAGATGATTGATTCAGTTAACGACAGTTGACGGTAGGAAATTCTACTCAGAGTACCTTAGCGTAAACTCCTTACACCAATAGACCATTACCAACCGTGAAGGCTTCATCGTTGCTAAAAGTAGCTTCATCTCGCCGGAATTCCATCCACAATSGGCGCACAGCAGGAACACCCGTCACGTTTGCTTATCCGATCAATGTGTAGCAGCMTGTAATGAGTGCGTATGGCGTCTCTCATGAGTTTTGTTTTCCGCTCACTGAAACAAAACGACACTGATTTGATTTGAATGGGAAATTGCAGAACTTTTATAAGCCAGCAGAACAAAGACAGAGGAAACAAATGGGTTAACTATTTAATAAATCGACTGATTGCAACATTATGTCTTCAACAATATTATCTTCAGAAGGAGAATCGATTCCTTGTTCGACTGGCATATGGTTCCCTCTCTGCTTGAACTACAAGGAAATGCAATAGTTATCATCTCTGGAATTAATACGAGCAAAAGCATGACTGAATGTGTTTGGAAATTAATAARCACATAAATTCATAGATGCTCTGAAGGCAGTACCATTGGAAACTAAATAAATCAGACACAGTAATTTCCACTTTGTTTATTAACCTCAAATCGTGATTTATTTCTAGAACTAGAAACTCTTTGATTGTTTTTTTGTGAACAGTTTCAATCGATACAAGATTTCTCTCATTTTCTATTTTCCTTTGTCTCTCTAAAAGTAGGGTTAGTTAAAACTAGGAAGAAATTGTGTTCATATTGAAAAATTAAAAACTCTAATATCTATTAGATATCTTTGATATTGAAATATTATATCTAAAATAATTATTTTTGGATGTACGAAAAATATTCTTATTGGTTTTTTAAATCTTTTTTATCTTTATAGTCATGTTTATCAAATAAATACTAGATGTCAAGGAAAGCAACAACACCAAAAGGATTTGATTTTTGATGGGTCAAAATCAAAGTTGGATTTAATGTGGCTTATATCTTATATGCAAGATATATAGAGAGAGGTCATAAATGCTTCAGTATAAATTAGATTGTTGCTTCAAGACAAGGGAAGAGAGTAGAAAAAAGATCTTAGGACCATTTGACTCATTAAGACACTACACATACATTTGCAATAATTGGGGAAAATTGAGAGTGAGCTTTCACTTTCACCCTTCTCAGCATATCTGATCATCAGTCCCACCCTAACACACATTCATACCTCTGGTTTCCTCTCTCACATGGAATGTCTTTTTGTGCCACAGTCAGTTACAATCCAAAAGGGTAAAGCAAAGGTCGTAAAACTCATTTTGTTTTGTTTTGTTTTTCTAACTCAAACATATACATATACCATTTTCAATTATTTAAATTAACAACATACATTAGGTTTCTCCTGCTCAAGAATTGGAATAAGCTAACGAGGAGTACAACATTGAAGAGTTGCAAAGTAAAAAATAACACAAAGGAGTCTTTTTAGCAATTGTATCCGCACATATATTTGCTTTGTCTCCCTATGTTAATAAAGAGTTTTTCAAATTTATTCATCTTGTACCAAGAACTTCTAATGTTTAAGATTGTAAAATTTTTTTTTTTTTTGAAACTTATGTTTAAGATTGTAATTGAGACCAATCTTTCATATCTTGCACTAGATAGTACATTGGAATCATTTTCAAAGATGACCTCTTCAAAACCAAAATCATCTAAACATGACATAGCCTATATGATCATGTATCTAACACACCTTATATACTTGGACCGAGCAGCTTGATCATTTAACTAACCACATTTTCAAATGCATAATGTATTAATGTTCGAATTATCATTTTAACTTACGAAAATCCAACCTTAATGTACATATTCAAAATTCCTAAACAAAGGATCATAAAACTATTTGAATATTTGTGGGGTAAATAAGCAGCGGTGATAAATAATTAACACCATATTTCATTTGCTGAAAATTATACCGAGACTGAAAAGGACAGTTCTACCCCATCGCCGTGAATTCTAATTACTGAGAAGATCCGGCAGACTTCCTGATTCCGGCGAAGATTCACTCCTCGCCGGAGATTTCTCCGTCACGTCTGATTCCACCGCCTGCTGTTTCGTAGGAGGCATCTTAGGGATCTCGGTGAGAATCTGGACGACTTCACGCATCGTCGGCCTCTCCACGGCCTGTTCTTCAACGCAGAGCAACGCAACGTAGAAGACGTGCGTTAATTCGTGGATTGGTACTGAAGAGAGTCTAAGATCGATTACTTTAAGCACACATTCTTTGTTCGAATCCGTCATGCTCCGAACCCATTGGACGATATCGACGCCGTCTCCGAATTCTCCGACGGGTTTTCTCCCGGTGATGAGTTCCAGTAGAACAACACCGAAGCTATACACATCGCTCTTCTCATCTACCTTCAATGTATACGCGTATTCTGCACCAACAAGGAACAAATTAGTTTAGTTCAGAGATTTGAAACCGACCCACCAAGTGTTTGATTAAATGCCAATTTTGATAAGTGTGAGTTTTAGTTACCTGGAGCTATGTAGCCGTAGGAGCCGGCTATGGCGGACATACATTCAGAAGTGCCGGAATCTTGTAAGAATTTAGCGAGACCAAAGTCGGCAACATGAGCTTCAAAGTTTGAATCGAGGAGGATGTTGTTGGATTTGACATCTCTGTGAACGATCAAAGGGGAACAATCGTGGTGGAGATAACAAAGACCTTTAGCTGCTTCGAGAGCTATTTTGTAACGTGTGTCCCAATGTAAATGACCTCCTTTCTTTCCATGAAGAACCTCTCCAAGGCTACCATTGGGCATGTACTCGTACACAAGGAGATTCGTTTCGTGGTTAGAGCAAAACCCGAGCAGCCTCACGATGTGTCTGTGTCTGATTCTACCTAAAGTCTGAATCTCCGCGTTGAACCCGTGATCATGGGAAGATCCATGGGACATTGTAGCTAATCTCTTGACTGCAACTAGGTCGCCGCTAGGCATCACACCTTTGTAGACAATCCCGGCACCGCCTTTACCAATGATGTTGTCTTCCTTGAGAGAGTGTAAGACATCGTCGCAAGAGAAGTCTAGTCTCTGGAAAGCAGTCAATCTCCAGGCCTTGATGTCACTCGCGTTTCTTAAGGACCGAGCTTTGACTATGGCCCCTATAGCGAACACCATCGAACAAAAGAGCAATCCGAGGACAAGTAATAGTTTCATAGTAGCAGATAAAGGTTTAACATGAGGCTGGTGAGTTCCTTTGGCGCAAGGACCCAAATACGGACCACACAGATCAGAATTACCCAAGAAAGATGTGTAATTGAAGTAACTGAACTGTCCAGTGCTCGGAACTAAACCGGAGAGATTGTTGTAAGAGAAATCAACCGATGTCAAACTCTGCATTGATGCTATAGTCACCGGTATCGAACCAACGAGATGGTTTCTTGAAAGATTCAAGTAATTCAAGATCCTCATAACTGTGATTTCGTTAGGTATTTCACCTGAGAGCTCGTTACGACTCAGATCAACAAAGGTTAGCAGCTTACAGTGACTGATCTCCGGTGCGATCCGTCCCGAGAACAGATTGTGGCTAAAATCCAACTTGGATAGCTGCTGAAGCCTACCGATCTCCGACGGAATCAGACCAGCAAACTTGTTACCGTTTAGGAGTAGTTTTTGAACGCCAGAAAAGTTGCCGATGGCCTGCGGTAATGGACCGGAGAGCTGATTATTTGACAGACTGATCTGACCAAGATTGACGGAGACTCCTCCGCTTATTGTTAACTCTCCGGTGAGGTAATTATCTTGGAGCTCCACTTGAGATAATTTTGGTAATCCGAAAAGCCCCTTCGGAATAGACCCGTTAAGGAAATTCTCACCCATCCGGATCCGGGTCAGAGACTCGCATTTGCCGAGCGTATCCGGGATTGAACCAAACAGGAAGTTGCCGAGAGTGATGAGTGTCATCAACCTGTTACCAGAGCACATATTCGGCGGCAAAGTTCCGGTGAGTTTGTTGGAGGAGAGGTCAAGTATCACTAGTCTACCATTTTCCCCCAATTTCTGAGGGATACTACCTGTGAAATTGTTCTCCCATAGCTGCAAAACCTCAAGCTCCGGCAATTCACCGATGAACTCAGGTATAGCACCGTAAAGCTTGTTTCTAAAGAGATTCAAGAGCGTTAAGTTCTTAAGCTGTTCGAAACTCGCCGGAATCTCGCCGGTAAACATATTGTTAGACAAATCCATTGATTTCAAGCTCGAAATCATCCCTAGCTCCGGAGTTAATGGACCTGAAAACACATTTACTTGCAGGAACAACGTATCGAGCTTCTGAAGCTTCCCAATCTCCGGCGGAATCTCTCCGGTTAAACCGCAATTAGCGGCGTCGAACCGGACGAGCTCCGATAGGTTTCCAATCTCCGGTGGAAGACCATCTTCAAAAGCGTTGTAATATCCGATGTAAAGCTCTCTAAGGTTCGTTAGGTTTCCGATCTCCGGAGGGATTTTTCCGATTAGCTCGTTGCCGGAAACTGCTAGATACTCGAGAACTGGCCAGCTTCCGTACACCGTTGGGATATGGCCAGCAAAGTAATTCCCACCGAGGTGAAGATGACGGAGCTGCGTCAGGTTAGTGATGGATACCGGCAAATCGCCGGTCAGATTGTTGTTGTACAAATCGAGAACCTGGAGATTCACCAATCCAGCGGAGAGTTCATCGGGATACGAACCGTTGAAGACATTATTGGAGAGATTCAGATGACGGAGCTCGGATAGATTGGCGATTTCCGGCGGAATAGGACCGGAGATTTGGTTAGCAGCGACGGATAGATTCTGTAACAGAGGTAAATGAGCTACGTCGGAGGAGAGAGTACCGGAGAGGTTAAGTCCGGAGAGGTCGAGGGAAGTCACGTGCTGGAGAGAGACGTCGCACGTGACACCGGTCCATGAACAGAAGCTCTTGGAAAGCTTCCATGAGGTGAGAGATGCCTGTTCGCCGCCGGTAAGGGAGGATTTGAGTGAGAGAAGAGCATGGAGCTCGGTGATTGGTCGAGTGGCGGTGAAG